AGCAGCGGCGAAAAATTCGAAACCCCCCGAGCCTCTTGCGATTTCCTGGCGGCGGAGCTTCTTCTTCTTCCAGTGATTTTTTTTTTCTCTGCTTCTTTTCTCCAGAGCTCATAGTATTTGAGGGGAGGAATTAAAAGGGAATCTAAGAAGAAGGGAATTTTATCACTGTAGCTACAGTGATAAATAATATTTATTGAGAGGTCTCAAGTTTGAGATCGGCTCTAGCTTTGTAATTTCTTGTTGATTAATAAGAAATAAACTGTGTGGCTCCCGAGGACGTAGGCAGTTGCCGAACCTCGTCAAAACTTGGTATACTTTTTCTATTCTGCGTTTCTGCTATCTTAGGGATTTCGACGATAAATTCTCAATAACTGGTATCAGAGCGTGAAACGATCTAGAGGAAGTCAGATTCAAATGGGAGCCATGGCCGCAGATGAAGGAAAAATGAGACTTGAGAAGTTTGATGGAACAGATTTCGGATTCTGAAAAATGCAGATAGAGGATTATCTGTATCAGAAAAATCTGTATCAACCACTATCGGGGAAGAAACCAGATTTTATGAAGACAGATGAGTGGAACCTTCTAGATAGACAAGCCCTCGGAGTTATCAGATTGACGTTGACGTTCAACATAGCGAAGGAGAAGACCACGGTGGGTCTTATGGCAGCACTCTCAAACATGTATGAGAAGCCATCAGCCGCGAACAAAGATCATTTGATGCGGCGGTTATTCAATCTGAGAATGGCGGAAGGCGCGTCAGTAGCACAACACCTCAATGAACTCAACACGGTCATAACCCAATTGAGTTCAGTTAAAATTGAGTTTGATGAGGAAGTTCGGGCATTGATACTTTTGTCTTCCCTACTAGAAAGCTGGAACGCTATAGTCACAGCTGTGAGTAGCTCGTCGGGAAGCACCAAGTTGAAGTTCGACGACGTTCGTGATCTGGTTCTCAGTAAGGAGATCCGACGGAGAAAGTCGGGTGAAGCTACAACCTCTTTAGTATTGCATACAGAGTCAAGAGGTAGAAATTCAACCAGAGGGAACGAACGAGGCAAATCAAACTACAGAGGTAGATCAAAGGACAGGAGGTTCAAATCAAGGAATCCAAGCAACAGCTCGAAGGCTATCGAGTGTTGGAATTATGGAAAGATCGAGCATTACAAGAATCAGTGCAAGAGTGCACAGAAAGAGAAGGAAGCAAAGGCAGAGGTGAATGTCACTTCCATCTCAGAAGGAGACGACGCATTGATATGCTCTTTGGAGAGCAAGGAGGAATCTTGGGTGTTAGATTCAGGAGCGTCGTTCCATGCCACTTCTCAGAAAGAATTCTTCGAAAAGTATATTCTCGGAACTCTTGGATACGTATATCTTGGTGATAATCAACCGTGTGCTATTGTGGGCAAATGTGTGGTAAAAATTAAGTTGAACGGGTCAGTATGGGAGCTGAAGGATGTCAGACATATTCCCGACCTGAGAAAGAACTTAATATCCGTAGGCTAGTTGGCTGGCGAAGGATACACCACGACCTTCTATGGAGATGATTGGAAGATCTCAAAGGGCGTAATGACGATTACCTGAGACAAGAAGACTGGTACCATGTATATGACAGCAGGTGCACGTTGTTTGATCTCAGTTGTAGCAGGCAATGAGACTTCAAAGCTGTGGCACCAGAGACTCGGTCATACGAGTGAGAAGAGGATGAAAATCATGCACACAAAGAGAAAACTCCCAGGACTGCAGTCAGTGGAGATGGACATGTGTGAAGAATGCATACTTGGAAAGCAGAAGCGAGTTAGCTTTCAGACAAGTGGCAGAACCCCAAGGAAAGAAGCTAGAGCTCGTTCACTCAGATGTTTGGGGACCAACCACCACCACGTCTATTGGTGATAAACATTACTTCGTGACTTTTATCGATGATCACTCTCGGAAAATGTGGGTCTACTTTCTGAAGTATAAGTCAGAAGTGTTTGAAGCTTTCAGGAGATGGAATGCTATGGTCGAGAATGAGACCGGTCTAAGAATAAAGAAGCTCAGGACTGATAATGACGGTGAGTATGAAGATACCAGATTCAAAAAGTTCTGCTATGAGCACGAGATCAGAATGGAGAGAACCGTGCCCGGCACGCCTCAGCAAAATGATGTAGCTGAGCGGATGAACCGAACGTTGACAGAGAGAGCTAGAAGCATTCGGGTACAGTCAGGCCTACCGAAGCAGTTCTGGGCAGAAATGATCAACACAGCAGCTTACTTGATCAACCGAGATCTATCGGTTCCATTGGAGCACAAAATACCAGAGGAGGTATGGTGCGGAAAGGAGGTAAAACTCTCACATCTAAAATTTTTTGGTTGTGTAGCTTACGTGCATATTAGTGATCAAGGCAGAAATAAGCTTGATCCCAAGTCAAAGAAATGCACTTTCATCGGCTATGGTGAAGATGAGTTCGGCTACCGTATTTGGGACAACGAAAATAAGAAAGTGATCAGGAGCAGAGATGTGATATTCAACGAGAAGGTGATGTACAAGGACATGCACAAGACAGATGACTCAGAGAGCGAGTCAATATTTATAGATGCAGATGATGTTCCGAGTAACCTCTCGGAAGAACCTAATGCAGAAGGTTCTCAGCCAGAAGAACCTGTTGGACAAGATGGTGCGCAAGAGCCCGACGCACCAGCTCCGATTTTGAGGAGATCTTCACGGCCTCCTGTGCCTAACAGGAGATACATGAACTATCTGTTGTTGACAGATAGAGGGGAGCCTGAAAGCTTATATGAAGCTTGTCAGGGTGGAGATGCGAGCAAGTAGGAGTTTACCATGAAAGATGAGATAAAGTCTCTCGGAAGTTTGATGTACGCAATGGTCTGTACAAGACCAGACATTGGCCATGCAGTGGGAGTGGTCAGCTGGTTTATGTCGAATCCAGGAAAAGCTCATTGGAAAGCTGTCAAGTGGATTCTGAGATATCTACGAGGCACCACACAGAAGTGTTTGCACTTTGGTAAGGGAGAGGTGGAAGTGCAAGGGTACGTAGATGCAGACTTCGGCGGTGAAGTTGATCACCGAAGAAGCACCACCGGCTATGTATTCACTGTCGGAACTACAGCTGTTAGTTGGATGTCACAGATACAGAAGATTGTCACTCTATCCACTACAGAAGCTGAGTATGTTGCAGTGACTGAAGTCAGTAAAGAGATGATATGGCTTCATGGTTTGTTAACAGAACTGGGATTCAAACAGGAGAAGAATGTTTTGCATAGCGATAGTCAGAGTGTGATTCACTTGGCTAAGAATTCCGCATTTCATTCTAGAACGAAGCATATTGCGCTTCGGTACCACTTCATCAGATCCCTGTTGGAAGATGACGTGTTGAAACTGGAGAAGATTCCAGGAAGTAAGAATCCAGCAGATATGTTAACAAAGACGGTGACCGTTCAGAAACTAGAGTTGTGCGTAACTTCAGTTGGCCTTCATGCATAAGTGATGAGGGCGGAGCCACACATGAGGACAGCTTGTTGAGGTAGCCTGTTGACGTCGGTTTGATCTCCAAGTGGGAGATTGTTGGAATTGAGGTGTAGATCAAACCTCGATTCAGGCGAGGTTGAACGAAAGCAGACGAGCTCGAGATCCGAGCGAGATTTCATTAGGCGAGGTCGCTCGAGGCAGGTGAGATTTCTGTCAAGCGAGATCTTGTCTGGCGAGTTTTGGAGCATGCGGACTCTACCCAGGCGAGCTCGAGGGCATGTGTTGCAAGCGAGTTCGAGGCGAGCTGGCGGGGTTCGAGTTGTGTGTGGGCTGGCGACAGCCTGTCGCCAACCAAACCCTAGCATTTCCCTATAAAAGGGAAACCCAAAGCTCATCCCGACTGTAGAAGAGGCGATTTTTCAGCAGTGGCGGAAAATTCGAAACCCCCGAGCCTCTTGCGATTTCCTGGCGGCGGAGCTTCTTCTTCTTCCAGCGATTTTTTTTTCTCTGCTTCTTTTCTCCAGAGCTCATAGTATTTGAGGGGAGTATTTTGAGGGGAGGAATTAAAAGGGAATCTAAGAAGAAGGGAATTTTATCACTGTAGCTACAGTGATAAATAACATTTATTGAGAGGTCTCAAGTTTGAGATCGGCTCTAGCTTTGTAATTTCTTGTTGATTAATAAGAAATAAACTGTGTGGCTCCCGAGAACGTAGGCAGTTACAGAACCTCGTTAAAACTTGGTGTACTTTTTCTATTCTGCGTTTCTGCTGTCTTAGGGATTTCGGCGATAAATTCCCAACAGTGTGGTTCTACTTGTCGAGATCGGCATGCGGCGGTAGATCGGAGTAGATTGACATCCGTTGTGATGGTTTTAATTACCAACAGTTAGTCCTCGTACAGTTGTCCTCATTAATGGAAAACACTTCAGACCTTTCAAGTTTCTTCGAATTTTATTTGGAGGGAAAATGAAGAAGTTTCCAGTTGATCACCATGATGTTCAATTCCAAGTAAGATTTTGGATCTGGAAGTGCTGGTTTCAGTGGGTTTCACTGAATCCAGAATTTAGTTTCAGTAAGTTCGAAAATGGTGCCAACATCCTCAATGTCCCTGGTTAAGATAGTATATGGGCGTACCTAAATTATTAGGCATGTTGCTCAGGCATTTTAAGCTCATGAAAGTGGGCCCCCCACAGGAACCCCAAACTAGAGGGAAATCAGCAAGATTTAACTGATATTTGGACTTTTGCCTCAATACCCAATAAATGAAAATTCTCAATTCAAGCATCTACCATTAGATAAGGTTATTGTAGTTTCTAGCATGTTAAGGTATTATACAAGGGTGTTTCTGATTCCCTTATCAATCTTTTTAATTAATTACTTTATTTATTTATTTCAGAGATCTCCTTGTAAATTTAATTGGACAACTATTTCTTAGTTATGCCTTTTTTTTTAAATTGCTTTTCATCTCCTATCTCTTAGATAAAGAAAGAAAATTGGATAGAATGAGACTGATCTCGGTCTTAACTTTACCAGGACAAACAAACATGACGTTCTTGATGATACAACTGCTTGAGGTCTATCCTTGAAGCATCAACACATGGCATGAAGTAGCACAGCGTCTTATTATACCTAATGACAGGAAGCCTTATATCATGTCAATGCAGGTCGATATAATTGTAATAATTCTATCAGAGGATAGCGAAGATTCAAAGAATGGGAGCTCTCATGAATGGTTCATTTGTGTCCCACAAATCTTGTGTAGGGTCAGACTGTGATTTGGGCAGTTGGGTCTGGGTTCATGGTCTACTCATGTGGGAAGTCCAGGTTGTTTCTTCCAAGTTACTGCTCCTACTTACAGTTTGAAGGACTAAATTACATTCACAATACCCTGAGGTATGGTGTTATTCCACGGGTGACCTTGGAGTTTGCGAATCTATATGAGTAATTCTGAGATAACTAATGTAGTTACATGGGTGACCAAGCAACTCTCATGGTTAACTGTGTTACTACAATAAGTAATCTCAAGGTTTCCCATGTAGGTTCACAAACTCAGGGGTCACCCGTGTAATTACACCATATTGGATTGTAATTAATCTTAGTTTGGAAGTCCTTTTTCTTTTTCTTTTTTTTTACCGAGTTTATTTTTGCTGGAAGTGAGCTTTGCTTACTTCTATTTGCATGTATGTCTGTCACTGTTATCTCCAGTTCAGCTCCTTAGTGTTTGGGATTATAAGCTAGTAACTAGGAATGCAGAGGAGAATCAAGGACAGGGAATAAATTATGGTTTAAGAACTTTATACCGTATGTGCTCTGACATAGAGTTAAGGTGCCGCAATTAGTATCAAAGCCCTTCCAATCTTGTAACTTCATCGAGTGGCTCATCAAGTGGATATAATTAAGGAGATAATAATTGCTGTGTGTAATAAATTAAGACCAATTGATGCAATTATCATATGCCATTGTAGATCTATGTCCCTGGTTATGATAATATAGCAGCAGTTTCTAGAGTGTGATGGATTTATTTAGTTATTAGGTGACATATTTAACTACTTGGTGCATAGATTGATGAATGGAGGTTGATTCTTAGAGCTGCTAAGAGAGTATTGTCCCTCTCTAAGAGGATAGATTAAGAACTTCCTTATATCATAGATAACTGTGACTTGTTATTAACAGTGCTGCAGTTAATATTACATCCTGGTGTCTTTATCGAATGACTCGTCAAGTTGATGTAAATAAGTATTAAGGAATGAGAACTGTTATATCTAATAAATTTAGATATAACAGATTTAACTAATTGCTGCAGTAATCATATGCCACTTTAGATATAAATTTAGATATTGATGCAGTAATCATATGCCACTTTAGATCTATGTGCCTCTTATGGGAATATAACAGTAGTTTCTTGGATGTGTTGTATTTATTTCGATATTTGGTAACAGATTTAACTAATTGCTGCATAGATCGATGAAGGGAACATTGATTTCTGAGAGTTGCAAAGGGAATATTGCCCCTTTTAGTCATAAGAAAGCATAATGTAGTAGGCATGCATCTCAATTCTTTTTGCAAGGTTATTGCACTTGATGCACGAGAGAGGAGATGACTCTTGCAGCTGTATTTTAGATATTTGCTGCCGCCAGGCAAATGATGTATCTTAGAGCCTGGTGTTGGTTGAACTTAATGATTTAATAACGTTAATCATATCTAATTACAATTGTTTATGATTGATTGCTTGAAATATGATCGACTGCTTGAAATCACTAGATGCCATGTGAAAGTATATTAGTAGAGAATAGTAGAGGTTTGTTAGAGAAACAATTAAGGCCTGCACTAGGTTTCACCTGAAAACATCACATGGGGGGATATTTTCAGCTTAGTGGATGGATATAATTGTGCAAATTATGCATACTATTTTCTGTAAACATGTTATTGTGAATGTTCAACCATTTGGTTAATCGATGTTGTTCTCGTTGTTGATGTATTTTCAGACCGCAATATTGTGATCGTTTTTCATGAGGAATCAACTTTCTTATGGGATTTTGCCTTCAGCACAATGATTCAGGTATTTATCTGTATCATAGAATTCAGACTACGAGCTAATGCCTACATTAGTTCCTCAAATTTACACATCGAAGGGACAATAACTACCGCGTTCTTCATAAAAACTGCAAAGTGTATCGATCGTGGCACACGCCAACCGATAAATCTATGGTTTTCTCCCGGAAGAGATTCTTGCAGTTCCTTCATTGAACACAATCCAATTCAATCAGGGCTTCATCATCCAGTTTTGTCGAATCCTTCTCATACCTGTCAACTAGTTTATTCTCCTTTCTGAATAAGATATTTTTCAGTCTGCTGAGTCAGACATCAGGAATCAGCCTGACTCAGGCTACAACTGATAGTGCCACTATTTTCTTTTTCTTTTTCTTTTTTTTTCATATTGCACTTGGGGTCATTAAAATCTTGATGCCTAATCAGTGATCCGAAGCTCTAATATCAATTTGCTACGGTAATTGCTGAAACAAACAACTTGATCAAATTACAAATTAACACAAAAAATTGAAAAGGGAAGATGAAGAAATCAATAAGATTTATGTCCCGCTGCCAACTGACTAGTGCCCGCGAGCAGAGAATCAAGGAAAACAATAAAATCTCTCTCAAAATACTAAATCAAATATACTGAAATCTGTTAACTCAAAAGGTGGTTGTCTTGGTCCACATAATATAACTTTGCACCGAATATATAAACAAAATATGTGTAAAAGTTTCACAGTGACATATTTATTGACCCAAGCCTTTCAACCTATCATATATCTCCGGAAAATTTTGTCCTTACTATCAGCCTTCTGCCATGATTATTTGGCTTGGATCATCAAATGCATTGTGATCATAGAATCACAAGACTCATAAAAACACAGAGACAAAGTAAAATATCACCTAAGTTGGATTTTAGAGCTCACTAGACTTCGATATCTAGATGAACAATTATTTTTTCTGTACACCTTCAGCCTCTACATAATTTTGTGCACACGGCCCCCAGCCATCAATAGAAAGTGAATTAACTTGTAGGAGGGTTTATAACTCGGGGAATTTTTAAAAAAAGACCGATTTTGCTAAATAATTAGCAAAATCGACTTCTTTTTGGCCAACAGGCCAAAAAGAGGTCGATTTTAAAAAACGTCCAGCTCAGAACATACGAGACTACTAGTCCCGTATGTTTTGGGTGAACTAATCCCCAATTAGTTCACCTAGAAAACATACGGGACAACTAGTCCCGTATGTTTTGGCCACTCATTTCTTGTGCCAGCAAACCTACGGGACTAGTAGTCCCGTGGATTTGCGGGCACAATAAATAAGTGCCTGACAAATCTACGGAACTAGTAGTCCCGTAGATTTGTCGGGCTATATAAAGCCCAGCTATGCCCTAAATTAGGGCACAACTCTCTCACTCACTCGCTCTCTCCCGATCTCGCTCTCTCCCGAACTCCCTCCCGATCTCTTTCTCTCCCGATCTCCCTTTGTCCCAAACCTGAACTCAACCTCTCCCAAACTCATCTCCCTCCCAAACTTGATCTCCATCTCTCCCAAACCTGACCCCTCCATCTTTTCCAAACCCGATCTCTCTCTCCCTCAAATCCAACTCACCCAAACTCTCTCTCCCCCAAACCCAACTCACCTCTTCCTCCCTCAAATCCGACGCCGACGCCGTCGATTCTCTCTGACGCTGTCTATTCACTTCGACGCCGACGAGATCCGAAAGTTCATCAAGGTATAAATTTCTTTTTTTTTTCATAAATTTCTCGATATTGTTTAGTTAATATTGTATATCTAGAGGAAATATTTTAATTATGATTATCAATATGGAAAAGAAATCTAATTTGTATATGATGAATTTTAATTCTTCGGTTAAAATGGCAAATGGAATACCGATTATTTGCTTATTCAATGGAAAACTGAGTGTTAGAATGAATAATATGCCTATATATGATGGAGGCTCTAGAAAAATGTTTATGTTATCTAGATATTGTAATTTCGATAGAATGATGGAGCAAGTATACAGAGTTACTAGAATTAATCATGCCGAAAATGCATTAAGATCTTCTGTAATTGTCCAATAAATGAAAATAGAACAATTGCTGTAGAGATCACCAATGATGAAGAATTGAATGACATGATCGGACTTGTGGAAAAACAAATCTCAATCGAGTTGTTCATTAAAAATATTCCAATGTCTGGGGTTGCCAAAGTTTCATATGCTCACGGAGAGTTCTCCTGCATGCTTGAAAACCAAATCTCGTTATCTCAAATTGCCTTGCACTTAAAAAATAACTCGGGTGCAATGTCAAGTGACATGTTTCACAACGTGTCGGATCATGTTTCAATTAATTTACCAGTTGGTTCTATAATAGAAGAGGATGAGGACGTAGATGCCGATGATGATAATGAAGTTGTTAAAGAGGAGGAACGTCTTGATAGTATGCAGTGTGCAATTGGAGAGACCAATGATGACGTAAGTTGGATGGATGAATATTGCGAAAATTATCATAGAGTTTTCAATCTCTTGTTAGCTTTTGGTTTCTTATATGTATTGATATTTTGCAAACAATTGTAGATAGACGCTATGGACGAGATAGAGGAGATTGCAAATGAGGGCATTGCTACCGCCACAGGAGATTCAGTATATGTATCATTCTTGCATCAGATAGTGGTGAGGGTTCGTAGAACTTTTCGACAAACTCATGAGGATCGGCATGAAGGTCACGAGCAGGTGCCGCATGAAGATACTTTATATGTACGCCGACGAAGACGTGGTAGATCTTGCTTGCACGATGATGAAGCTGATCCGTCATAGCAAGCGGGACCGTCACAGCCCCACACACAACCAGAGAGCGAGCATATACAAGCTCAAGACGAAGGGGGGCGCTGACGATCTAAGCGGGTGCGAAGAAGGAGACAACGGAGAAGGGGCGGACTTTTAGGTTGTAAGCTTTTCCACTAAGATTATATATTATCGTATGGAATTATTGATACATTTGGATTTGTTTAGCTTAGACTACATATTATCTTATGGGTAGACTTGATACATTTGGAATTGTTTAGAATTTTATCATATTGGTATGCATATGACATATATATTGTGATGTGATATTCTGAATTGATTAAACTTGTTATTATCCGGTGTTTATTTTATCAGATTTATGTTGTGATGTTGTGTATTTTTTAGATTTGTGTTGTGAAAATTTTGTGAAAATTAATGTGGATTTGTGTATTTTTTAGATTTGTGTTGTGAAAATTTTGTGAAAATTAATGTGGATTTGTGTATTTTTTAGATTTGTGTTATGAAAATCAATGTATACAATGTGGATAATATTTTTTGTGAAAATTTTGGTCAAATAATATTGTATATGAAGTTAGAGGCATGTGCATGTTTTTGTGCATGTTTTGCCTCTGCCCAACAAACCCACGGGACTAGTAGTCCCGTGGGTTTGCTGTGCAGAGGCAAAAAAACCTCTGCGTAACGTACGGGACTACTAGTCTCGTACATAAAGCAGAGACTTATTTGCCTCTGCCCAGCAAACCTACAGGACTAGTAGTCCCGTGGATTTGTTGGGCAGAGGCAAATAAGTCTCTACTTTATGTACGGGACTACTAGTCTCGTACGTTAAGCAGAGAGTAGTTCCCGTACGTATGGAACTAGTAGTCTCGTACATAAACCAGAGACTTATTTGTCTCTGTCCAGCAAACACACGGGACTACTAGTCCCGTAGGTTTGCTGGGCACAAGAAATGAGTGACCAAAACATATGGGATTAATAGTCCTGTATGTTTTCTGGGTGAACTAATCCGGTGATTAGACACCCAAAACATACGGGACTAGTAGTCATGTATGTTCTGAGCTGGGCGTTTTTCAAAATCGACCTCTTTTTGGCCTGTTGGTCAAAAGGAGGTCGATTTTGCTAAATAATTAGCAAAATGATCGATTTTGCTAATTATTTAGCAAAATCGGTCTTTTTTAAAAAAAAATTCTCTTTATAACTCTTGTGTAGAAGCCGTGCATACTAAGCAAGCCCAACTAGTTGACCTGTATTGACCCAACAATAAAAGGACATGCACAAAATTCCTTAATTTTTCTGAAACGCCCTTCACCTCCTTTACCCAAATTAACTTGATGGGATACCTTTGTCCAAAGCTAGCTATGTATTTTAATACACGGATACCTTTGCCCAAAGCTAGCTATGTATTTTTAATACACACCCATCATGTGAAAGTGTGGATTTGATAGGGGGCAAGCTAAGAATAAACTCCTTAAGAATCGTAGGGTTTTGACGCCGACTCCGGCATCAACGCAAAAAATAGAGTACGAATGATAATTTTCTTGTTGATTTGTTGAGACACACGTAGCCCCATGTGGCACGTGCACCATCCTTCCCTTGGCTTTATGTATCTCTTTTAAATTTAGTACAGTCCATCCTCACCGGTCACCATCTTTAGCTTAAAGATGAGGAAATTAGCACCCCACTGGAATGCATTGCTCATCTTAATTTTAGGGGTTAATTGCACATAGACCCCGCGTACTATCGCCCACTTGCAGATAGAACGCCTATTGTTGCAGGTAGACCACACGTGCTATCGCCCAACCGCGAATAGACCCTAATATGAAATTTTTTTTTAACTCTTTTATCCTCAACGGGTCTACTCGTCAAAAAAAAAAAACAATTTTCTCTTCCCTCAAGGATAAAGGACCATTTAAAAAGATGATTCAGGGGTTTTAACCGCAACAACAGAACCACAGGGGGTCTATCCGCAATCAACCCTAGTATTAATTAGCCCATTTTTTATGCTTGGACAAAACTTCAAAACCGCCCTATTTGCAAACTTAATCCCAAAACCGACCTGTTTCTCCTTTATTTGCAAAAACCGACCTAGTTTCAGAAAAAGTTCACAAACTTCACGGGAGTTGAAGTCCCGTGAAGTTTTTTTCATAACAAAACTTCACGGGAGCCTCAGGGCTAAAACCAGGTCGTTTTTTACAAATAAATCCGAAACAGGTTGGTTTTTGGGATTAAGTTTGCAAATAGGGCTGTTTTGAAGTTTTGTCCCCCAGTTGTTACCAGCTACTAGTCTTTGATTTGCATCATATCATGCGTGTTCACGTGTCGGTGCCCATGAGGACACGGCCACTGGTGAAGGTAGCAGACAGGAAAGATGGGTGATTTCAGCTTCTTAATTTTTTATGAATTTGCTGTCTCCTAGCTATCCTCAACACTAGCTCCCAAATTCATCCAATCCCATAGCAATATATTCAGAAATTATATTTCAGAGGACCCACAGAAAAATTAAGAAAACAAGAAACCAACCAGGACATTGCCCATTTTCCCACCTCCCTTGTGCATTTTAAACTAAATAATGTTGCCTATATAAACCCCACGTACGTACCCATCCTCTCAACTCCCACAATCAAACCTGATCCCCTCTCCATGGCCTCTCCTTCCTCCTACTCCTCCTCCGTTTTGTGTTTCTTGGCGTACTGTTTCTTGGAGCTTTTCGCGGTGAGCACCCTGGCCGCGGCGCCGAGGAGGCCCGTTAACGTCCCGTTCCAGAAGAATTACGTCCCTACTTGGGCTTACGATCACATCAAGTCCTTCAACGGTGGCAACGAGATCCAGCTCCACCTCGATAAATACACGGGTAACGCACATGATAAACCTGAAGGAGCACGAGTGTTCAAGGCTCGGCTAACGTACTTATTTTTTTTGAAAACGCCCGTGTGCAGGAACTGGGTTTCAGTCCAGAGGCTCCTACTTGTTCGGGCACTTCAGCATGCAGATAAAGATGGTACCCAGGGATTCCGCAGGGACCGTCACCGCCTTCTATGCAAGTTTAATCCCATGCTCATATTTTTTTTCCCGCTTGTTTTAGTTAGGGAATGAAGCTATATATAGCTAATTGATGGGGGGTGGTGGTTAATTTGGTGTTTGAATTTGGTGTTCTTCAGCTGTCTTCTCAGAACTCGGAGCACGACGAGATAGATTTTGAGTTCTTGGGGAACAGGACCGGGGAGCCTTACATACTGCAGACCAACGTGTTTACCGGCGGGAAGGGGGACCGGGAGCAGAGGATCTACCTCTGGTTTGATCCAACCAAGGCTTACCACTCCTACTCTGTTCTCTGGAACATGTACCAGATTGTGTGAGTTCCGCTGTGCTCTCATGCCCTGCCCTTCATTTAATTTATCCCTGAATAAAAGTGGTTTAAGTACTTGTGCATGGTTCTAAAAAAATAACACCCAAATATATGGTTTTGAAGTATATCAAATCATTTTATATTTTCGGTTAGGTTAGGGGGTGTTTGGTTCGATTTCTATAAATTATAGGAAAAGGAAAATACCCAAAATATATAGATTTCCTCGTATTTCTATAAAATTTGTAGAGAAATTTTATAGGACTCAAAGAGTATCGTATTTCTTGTTTTTTTGCTATTCCTTTGTTTGGTTCAAAGTATGAAAAAGTTCATAGCTTTATAAAAAATGTGTTTGTTTTCTTTTTCTTTTTTTTGGTTGGATATCACTTTATAGAAAATAGCTTACTAACAATGCCCATGAGAAATCACATGGGAACGGTACCGGTGTACTTAATTGTTTTTTTAAAATATGCGTCGGATTTCCTGATGTTTTTCACCCAGTTTTAGTGGAAAACAATTTCTGCAAAATTGTACAGATTTCTGTGTTACTTTACCGAAATCTTTTCTGTAAATTCAATGTTGAACCAAACACAGTTTGTGAAAATCTACGGAAACCTATTATTTACGATAACTCCATTCTCATGTGTTTTCTCAAAACTTTTTCATAAAATAGGTGAACTACCAAACACCCCCCTGTACTGTTTCTTCTTACTCTACTAACGTAGGATCCGTCAGATCTCTAGTAAGGTATAATGGATAAATCCCTCTTGTTTCTCGAAAGAGTAGTGGTCCACTTTAATTAATTACTTAATCTATTTATTTATTTATTTTGAATTACATCTTAGAGAGTTATAAGCAGTAACTTCTGTTTGTGATTCCCTGACCAATATTAAGCAGGCAATGGGGAAAAGAACTCTGCCGATTTTATGACTTTATGCCTTTACTTCTTTGCAAAAGATGAGAAAATAACAGGTAAAGGTCCGTGTGGGCACTGGGGTTTTTAATTAAGCATGTCACATGTTGGAAGGGCATCATCACCCAGAATGTGGTGGGTCCCGATTTGGAAACCTTGGACTCGATTCTCTCCATTTAAGGCTTTCTCCTTTTGACTATAGATTCCTAGAAGCAAGCATCAATGCATGAAAAATTGCAAAATTTGTGGTGATTGTAGGCACTTTTTGACGACCTGGCTCCACGCACACACGACTTTTGTGTTTCATGTACAACAAATTAACTGATGCACATGTAAGAAAGATTTGGGAGACGTTTGTCTTCCAACAAAGTGAAAAAAAGAAAATGTTAAGGGTCCAGTGCACTCAGGTGCATGGCGTGCACTCAAACGATGACAATCGTTGGAGTACTAGGTCTCGAGATTCGTACCGTTTAGGTGCACATGTAATGATATGAGCCGCTCCCACCGGATGCTTTCTCAAAGTCAAGAGTTTTCATCTGCTTAGATCTTTTGTAAAAACATTCTTTAGACCTTTTGTTGGTCAGTGACTTTTCAATTATTTGATCAAGCTAATTAGTGTGCATGTCCAATTAATTTCTGTTGAAAATCTAACAAAACGAGCATTAAAGTATCATCTTCTAGCTCTCGGGATCATCTTCTTGTTCCTTATATCATCTTTCTTTGTGTATTCCTGCAAGCGACATACATTCACACAACTACAATCCAGATCATCAACGTACTCAAATCACATCAGCGGCGCATGCACTACCAAACACCATAGATGATTGGATGGACACACTACTCTTACAACCCTAAACCAATAATTTCTTGACTGATAAATTTTTTTCTCCCCTCCATGCTCCAGTTTTTTCGTAGACGACATCCCCATCAGGGTATTCAAGAACAGCAAGGACTTGGGAGTCAGGTACCCCTTCAACCAGCCGATGAAGCTCTACTCCAGCCTTTGGAACGCCGACGACTGGGCCACGAGAGGCGGGCTCGAGAAAACCAACTGGGCCAACGCGCCCTTCATCGCATCCTACCGGGGGTTCCACATCGATGGCTGCGAGGCCTCGGCGGAAGCCAAGTTCTGCGCCACCCAGGGCCGCCGGTGGTGGGACCAGAAGGAGTTCAGGGATATCGACTCTTACCAATACCGTAGGCTCAGTTGGGTCCGGAGGAGGTGGACGATATACAACTACTGTCAGGATAGGTCAAGGTACCCTACAATGCCTCCTGAGTGCAGAAGAGACAGAGACCTGTGAAAGAATCATGAAGAGGTCTGGATATGAGCTGTGACCTCTCATGATCTATTCCTGTATTAATAATGAAAAAAAAAAAAAGGAACCGCAGGTTTTGAATATTTTGGTGGTGTTTTGTTTGTGTTTTCTTGTTCTCCGTGTTTGTTCCTGATGAATGTGGGGGTTTATGATATTCCTGGTGAATGTTTGGAGGTGTATGAGGGGTATATATATAGTGTGTAATGTTTTTCATGTTCCTCAAAATGTTATAAGGTTTCATCGAAAACCAAGACTCGTAGTAGATTCAAGCCTCACGTATTAATTGGTGCCGTTCTATTGGGCTTTATTTACTTGAAAAAGGATGTGTATGTTTTCGGATGTTTTCATCAGAATGTTCTCAGGTTTCATTATATTTGTTGTTTGTTTCAAACCTAATATTTACTCATTTGGGCTATAAAAACTTTGTTGTTGTGTGGTAACCATTAATTTCAAAGCCTCTGATTTTCGGGAGTCTAAAGTTTCTATATATTTTACTAATTGGATCCTTTTAAGCATGTGATAAGTTTTTTTTTTTTTACAGCATTTATGGTACGTAACTTGACTACAGTAAGTACTGCAATTTTATGTAGCAAAACATAATGTCGTGTAAATCAAGTTGACGGCACACAAATTAGAAATTATTTGACAAGTCCAAATATACAAACAATTCTCTTGCAACGACAATGAAGTCCTTGCTTTTAAAGCTAACCAAACGCTATTTATCCACTTGGAAATTCATTTTTCTACCTCACAATGTAGATATCCAAATTGTTGATGCTGGTGCTGAAATGGCTTGATTTCACTTCAGTTTAACATTTGAGCTCTAAGCGTCAACCATTTGTGACCCGCACGAAACATATCAAATTTCTCCACCAAAGGAAATGCACAAGGCATCGTAGCCACAAAAGTATAGAACAAAGATTCAGTTAGCATCCAGAGGATTTATTAAGGATACACACAGGCTAGTAATCGGAGAAACAACTCATTCCAGTCCTAGTTAGATAAAAACAACAGGCCCAGGCAAAAGAAAATCAAGAATTCGAAATTTAAAATTTCCGATATTTCTCTATACTGCGTAAACAAAAAATTACAGCAAATTGCCAATAAGCAACACTACCCTTTTCTTCTGAATTAAATCTTTTATGAAGCAAATGCCAACTGGTTTCAGTAAAACAACGGAAATGCCAAGAGGATGCCAGGAAGCAGCTGAGAGCAGAACTCAGCTGCATAACCTTCTCAGACCACTCCTGCTCCTACTGTTCGTCCTCCTTCGCGCAATGCAAATCTTTGCCCTGAAAAAAAAGAGTGAAAATTGCAGGTGTCAAGATGTTGTCTGCAAATTGTGTAGAAAACAGTAGAAAATTTGCAGAATTTAGAAAACAGTAAGCATATAAATTATGCAAATATTTCACACAAAAAAGAGAGAACAAAAACTCACATTAAGAAGAAGGCAAATCTTTTCAAATTATTCAAAATGAAGGCGACAAGGTTCGTTACTCCCTCTCTTTTGATAATAAGATCATTAAGGGCCCTGTTTGGCTTTGAAAATTCACTCAACTGTAGTTCCTTTTAAGTCATCATTAAAGGTTATAAACTGTAGTCCGCAAATTTACATCTGTAATTTTCTAAACAGCAGTTCACTAATTCCATGTTGTGTTTGGGTGCAAGATGAAGTGTCTCCCAATTTTTTATTTTTATTCTTATATTTTATTTAATTTTATTTTTTTATATTTTTTGCATTTTCTTTTCTGTTTCTTGGTGTTTAAGAAGAACCAAATATGATTGGAGTTTCTAATCACAACTAAGTTAAACTTTCAGGCCACGTTTGTTTTTCGTCCTAGGTGTAGGGGTACTGTAGCTCCTGGGCGATAGTCCTCGAACTGTGTAATTCACGGACTATTTTAGCCTTGTTCCATGTTTTGTTTTCACAGGTTAACATCCAAACTAACTTAAAATAGTCCGAGCTAGAATTTGTTATTAGGCAGATTATAAACATTCAGACTAATATCATAAACATACTGACAGGTTTGCTCTCAAGTTCACCATCCAGGCATATAACCTTAGCCTAAAAAAATAGACATACCACCTTTCTACCCCAAAAAAAAAACAATTAACCATATTGGACAACGCCAAGAACAACTCCGGATCCGTTTTCACAAATATATCCTCTCCGTGAAGAAACTCTGGTTATTAACATCGATAGGCAGTTGAATCAACATGGAATGCTGCAACCACAAGTCCAGAATCACACCTTATATCCTCACCAAAAGCATAGACTCTATCCTCGTGAAATATGGTATAAACGAAGCCAATGCAAATCATGTCGCAGATAGTTCAACCTCCATCCCTAAGCTTGAAAGAACCAAAATTTGACAGGGCCAGCAAAGAGAATTATGGTGATGCAATTGTCATCAAAAGGATTAATGGGAATTATAGAGACTGAAATTGGAGGGAGAGGAGAGATGATTATGTCCAGGTGAAGGGATTGAAGAGAGAAAGAGAGGGATTGCTGGAATCGAGGAAAGCGACCCAAACCCAAGGAGGAACAGCTGATGATGGGTTTGTTTAGGGTTTGGGTGAAATTGATGTAGGAGGTCTTTTGAAGAGAGAGGTCGAAGGAGAGGGTTAAAGAAACTCATGTGTGATGGTTCAACTTAGTCCCCTTCTTGGGGATTATATAATCGCTTAAAAATGGTCCAGACTGACGAGAAAAAAAACAAACATGGACTCAGAAAATTTGATCCGGATTATTTTAAAATAGTACCCTCGCTATTAAAAACACAAACATGAACTCAGAAAAATAATTTATTCCATACATATCAAAGAAGCACTTGAGCCCTACACTATCAACTTGTAAAACCCAAAATAAGTTCGTCTGTTATCAGAATTAATACACCTAAAAACTCTCAGGTATGTCTGATAGAAAAGAGCAACAATATTTTGATAGTCATTTTGTCAAATATTTGGATCACACTCTATGTGGCCTAGAGATGGCATTACAAGGATTAGAGTTTCCACAGTAATTATCCTTATTACACAATTTAAAGAATAACAGAGAACTGGAATAAATAAATTTTCCGAGAACATAAAAGGTATAATAAAAGTTTTCAAACCAAGACAAGGTATACTAAAAAAAATAAATTTCCAAAATTGCAGTTCTAGATCATAAAAATTGATAATTTGTGACAACATTACCTGTTTCGAGCGGGACTTCAGATATAAGTTCAAAAATAGCAGTGACATTATCTCCTGGCATCACCATCTTCACATTCTCAGGCAATTCTACCTTGCCAGTAACATCTGCAGTCCTTAAGTAGAACTGAGGCCTATAATTTGAGAAGAAAGCAGTGTGGCGACCACCTTCATCTTTTGTAAGTACGTAAATCTCAGCCTCAAATTTTTTATATGTCTTCAGACTCCCAGGCTTGCAAACAACCTACTTTCATTAACATATATTTCAAAAAGGTGAACAGGATATGTCACTATAAAAGTCCCATCTCCTAGAAAGAAAAGTTTAAATGCATTTTTTGACATAAACATGTGAACAGAACAAACTACATCTTGTGGTGTTTGGAACCATGCATTTATTCTTAAAGCGAAGACAGCAGATATGATCAACCATTGATGATTTTTTTTATTTTTTTATTTTTTTATTTTCTTGAAGATGAGTTCACATGCTGAAGTTACTAGGAGAAAATGTCTTTACTAGCAATGTTGACGAGAAGAAACAAGTGACAATTCAAGTAAACATACGACTAAAAGTATTCCTTTAATATTATGTACCTGTCCTCTTTGCACCTCTCCACGTTTTAAACCTCGTAGAAGAAGACCAACATTATCACCAGCCTATAAAGAAACATATCAATCAAATGCTAGAAAATAAAAACACAAGCACAGAATGCACCAAACAGCAGTTATACTTCGCCATGATCCAGGATCTTCTTGAACATCTCCACACCAGTAACAGTTGTCTTCAATGGACCACCCTGACAAGTAAAAAAAGGGATGTAGGAAGAGTATAGGATTCACACACTATACATTTGTTTATCCATATCACTAAGAAATTCTCAAAAACTATTAATGTGTTTGCATTTTATGAATTCATCTCTGTTCAGCTTTTATCTTAAATGAAGTAGCTGAATATACTAAGTTGACATTTCGTCAATGCTACAAGACATTGACATTGACACAAAATCACTGGTAGAAATCAAGTCTATGAACAGAATAAGACGGCAGCTGAAGACAATTTGTGCATATACTAAAAACTTGGTGTGAAAGAAAATGTTAATTGAAACTTGTCTTCAGATACATGCTTAATAGTTAGATGCACATATTATCAAACAAAGATTTTAGTGTGTTTGAGAGGAACCAAAGACTCTAATATAGTGTCATATCCTTAACATGACAGAGCAATGTGAAAAAACATTAGAATCTTAGCAGATACTGTGCAACAATTATCCTAGCGCTTGGTTGATTTTGTAAATAGCAAATGCCTAAGACTGGATATTGTGATGAGAATTTATATTAGCCGAATTAAACAACATGAAGCGCTTGAGAATCTTATAATACACTGCAGGTTATCGTGTGCATACTGTACTTGTTCAAACTCATGGATATTAACCAACCATGTGACTTCCATACTAGAAGAATTTATAAATTATGATTATGATATTCCCTTCGAATGCTCCTTTGACCTGACCTTTCAGCTCTCGCATACAACAGTAAGTTTCCCGTCGGTTTCAGTGTACAGTTTACTCTCAGAAACATTACTTGCTCCCCATAAATAATATGACTTCAATTGCTACAAGGAGTTAATACATGACAAATGAGCATTCTTAGGTATTGACGCGACTTTAGCTCACAACTGTAATACATAAATATGTGGCATGCAATTTAAGTGCCATTGTACCACAGGGAAAAAGCCTATTGAGATTGCTGGGGTTTGGAGTTCAAATCTCGATCAAGCTAGGTTAATGGCAAGACCGAAAGTAACTTTCTGGTTGATGAAATACAAAGCACAATAAGGCCTCATTAATGCTATATACTGGCTTCAAATAGCATTCACTTAGTTAACAAGCAAACCAGTTCAAGTGTCCAGATTATGTGGCGCCAATTCGTGTAAGAGTTAATTGGAAAATCCCTAGACTACATTAAAAGGCCATTATTAACATACCGAACTAACAAAATCGAAGAGGGATCACATAATATGCAAAATAATTAAGTACTATATCTGTTACTTGCAAATACAAAATAGCATCAACTAGTGAGGTGCTCTTTTGATCTTGTAGTGGAGTGCATGATTTATATTGCAAGTAAACCACAGTCATATTTTACCTGCATTAAACCTAAAATCTCAACATCTTCTCCAGTTTTAATCGTTCCTTGCTCCACTCGTCCAGTTACAACGGTTCCACGTCCCTGTAAATACAAACCACATCAGAAAGAAAACATTATGAAGATTTTACTTAAAAAAAACTTGTGTCGCTGATTCTCTCCGCACTCCGCCAGCTACCATGTATCTTATATACTGAGATGTATATCAGAACTGTATGGTTATTCAAAATATTAACTTACTTCAGTTGGACAGTGAGGCTGTTTATATGGAAACACCAATATAAGAAATGATATATCTGGCAATGTACCTAGCACACCTAATCTTTGTAACAGCTCATTTGTGTACACCCGCCTGTACATGTGCATGCCTTGCATGTACAGATGACATACTACTAATTATATTATATATCCGATAACTTGTTCAACAGGGAACACCTATTATTAGCTCAATAGGTAGAAGTACAAAATCTAAATGACTGCAGTGAAGTTTGATCACCTGAATAGAAAAAACATCCTCAATTGGCATGAGGAATGGCTTGTCTAGCTGGCGCACAGGGTCCGGTATGTACTCATCAACAGAATCCATCAACTTCAGAATAGCCTTCCTTCCAATTTCATCATTTGTGCCCTGTAAGGCTGAGAGAGCTGAACCCCGGATAATTGGAATCTCATCACCAGGGAACTTGTAGAAGCTAAGCAGCTCTGTCAAGCAAAATATTGTGCACAATCAATATAAATTGGTGGATAAATCGACACATCCTTAAGACCTACATACATGCATGAATACTTATGCACGCACATGGCCAATAAATACCATTATATACGTCTGCACATACATATTTGTTTACTTATGTACAACTCAGTGCCATGTAGTTCCATTTATTTAAGTTGCAATAATTCAGGATCATCAACAGCACAGAGACACAAACGTACAGATTTATTTATTTATGATGCCATACCGCGTAGTTCCATTTCTACAAGTTCCAGTAATTCAGGATCATCAACAGCATCAACTTTATTCAGGAAACAAACAAGGGATGGCACACCAACCTACATGGCAGAAAAGGAAAAATCACATGAAAAGATATTAAACATTGCATATGTGGCATAGATAACTTGTCAATTAAAAGAAATTAAACATGGCATAAATGACTTGTCGATTAAAATAGAGCAAGATGAAAAGGAAGTAAGTTAATTTATCACCTGGCGAGCAAGCAGAATATGCTCCTTCGTCTGAGGCATAGGTCCATCTGGGGCAGATACAACAAGAATTCCACCATCCATCTGTGCAGCTCCAGTAATCATGTTCTGCAACTCAGCAACATGAATCGTCAGCAAAAACTAATTAAAAAAAACTAGATCATTAACTACCTTTGAGTAAACATCAATATACAATATCGGAAACCTCAGAACGTTAAAATCTCCAGTTTTAGGGTTCAGATATTAAAATGAGTAGGCTTCGACTCTTAAACTATTCAAAGCAGATTTATCAGGATATAGCTGGCCTAGGTTACAACTTAAAAAGATGCATTTAGGCTTCTGTTCCAGTATAATATTTCCAGGCTGACGGCTTAAAATTTTAGCAAGTTTAACAAATTCCTTGAATCTCTAAGTATTTTTTGGAAGTAAGAACTTATGATGATTTCCGCAACAAACAAAATGCAAAAAATAATCTGAATAGAAGAATTTCAATTCTATTTGACTAAACACAAAGTACATGAATTTTTGCACTTTTTCCAGGAAAAATGCAGCATAATTCAAATCTTTTCACATCACCCTTATGTCCTGAGTATGTTATAATTGTAACAGGAGAAGATAGCTCAATAATCTATCAATATATGCTAATATGAAGGCTGGGATGAAATAAGTTTTTAGCTAGAACTTAGAACTATGTTTACTACGGATTAAGGGCAAGGATAGCTATGTTGCTTAGTGATTTTAAAGAGGAGCTCCATGAAACGTAAAAGATAAGGACTCAAGTGGAACAATGTGGACTGTAACCTCACTAATATGAGAAGAAATGAGACAATAGCTCATAGCAGTGGTTAAAAAGACATAAAATTGAATCATTTCATTTCGAAGGATCAACTGTTTGTCCTAAAACATTGCTAAAAAATTCAAACAAGATTAAAGAAAGATGGCTGACAAGAATGAACGCCAAGAAAGCTATGAGTGTTGAAAACAAACTTATATGTGGACGCTATGCATTATATTCACAACCAAATAGTGATGAAAGGTTAAAGATTTTTTCCAATTCATCTTTACCTCCATATTACTGTGTGTTAATAAACCAGGAATGCTAATAAAAAGCAATGGAGTATATAACATATAAAAGTACTAAGAAAACCATAGAGTTAAGCAGAGTTAGTTCAAGTTTAATGACTTTATAAGTTCCTAAAAAAGTTCATTTTTTATTGCTTAAAAAAGTTCATTTTTTTTTTAAATATTGCCCAATGACTCATGTACCATGTAACTGACACCTTGAGGCATAAGTAGGCCTACAGCAAAGAGCCATAGGCTATTAAAATGTCTGAAGTGCTTAAGAAACTGAAAACCAAAATAGAGGGTAAGCATTTCAAGATTATCATCTGTGTACGCCCTTAAATGACTCATACAACAATAATTAACAAGCTGTAAAAGATAAACAAAATGTTAGTTATGTATATAAGTTTACAACCTAATACAACCAAAACGAGGCATTCAAAAATAGTTCCTTTCACAACTCACTTTGACATAATCTGCATGTCCAGGGCAATCTACATGAGCATAGTGTCGCTTAGCAGTTTCATACTCCACATGAGCCTGCAAATAATGTTCATAATTTGAATTAGAGCATGAAAAGTTCAACTGTTATCAAATCACTTGAGATAGTAAGTTGTAATAAAAAGTAACCAGAGTTTTTATCTAACCGTAGCAATGGTAATTCCTCTCGCTTTCTCCTCAGGAGCCTTATCAATCTCATCAAAGGCAATAGCCTTAGCTTTTCCTTCTTCAGCTAGTACCTGAAAGAAAAGGCAAATGCAGCTTGTACACATTTATACTTTTCAAGGACAACAAAACATAACCAGTTCATGGCATTGTGCATTCGAAAATCTGTAGTGATAATTTTTTTTTTTTAAGAAACCGCTAAGAAAAATGAATTAACAATAGAGTTAATAGCCACCATCTTCTCATGTGCCACAACAACTCCCTCAGGTTTTCAAACAAAATGATGCCCCTCATTACGTTTGCTTCGTGCTTAAACCCGTGATTGTTAACACATATGTATTATTATTTTTTTAACATCATTTTGCCTTCTTGTGAATAGAGAAGGAAATTTGAAATAAAAACCAATTCCAACCTTAGTGATTGCTGCCGTAAGAGTAGTTTTCCCATGATCGACATGTCCAATGGTACCAACATTTACATGAGGCTTCCTGCGCAAACAAACAAACGAAAAAAAAAGTTAAGAGCTCACAATTTCACTTTGGGTTATTAAGATGTCAGTCCCTCAATTCTTCGATAATTTCAAACCAGTCCCTCAAATCATAACGAGCGACGAAAAGGTCAGGGCGTACGT